CTGGGGACAGCATTTAGTAACTCCTACATGGCTAGCCGTGAAAAAAGGATATATAATACCGCTAAAAAAATCCTCCATCTACCTAAGATATGTAGAGGACGTTCCCATCTTAGTTAAAAACATATATAAAATACATGAAGTAAAAAATCTCCTTTTTTAAATTTACATATGTACTTAACAATAACAAAAACTTCCTTTCCTTAATATATTAATAGACATCAATAACAATGCATTTACTACTTCTCCTAGCATAAACACATGCACTCTGAACTATAAAAGTGAATATCCTAACTATGACAGAACAGTTATTATACGAAATTTAATAAAGTGGTCAAAAGTTAATTCTTCCAAGAAAAACATTTCTACAATGAATTAATAAACATTAAATGAACTCTCATTAATAATGACTTTCCTAAGTACATTTTTGATAAATAAATTAGACAAGCTATTAGAAATATTAACATAAATTAAAGAGAACATAATATATCCTCATATAACCCTAAACATATCAACCAATTATACCGTAATCAAGTACATTATGTACAAACAAGATGGAAATGTCTTAAAACCACTCAAGAGTACTAATAGATCCCCCATTGATCCCAGTAAAAATAAAACTAATTATATAGTATACTAAATTTAATAGAATCAACTTAATACTCGACAATAACTCATTTCAGTCAACTTGTGTTTTACAAAAGACCAACATTGTATATCAAATTAAATGTCCTTTGGAAGATTGTATCTCTGACAAAAACATAAGTATATATGTTACTTTCACGACAAAAACATTACCAAGGAAACTTACACTACATATGCCGGACACAAGCTCTATCGCACAACATTTAAAGGAACATTCCTGTTCACGTTCACAATTTAGAGAAATATTAATTGAAAATACAAGTATACTAAACAATGCAAAGCAATAACAAAAAATTCAAATTCTTGATGTCCTCTATATAACAAAATAAACCCAACGCTATATATGGTATAATATGAGTATAGCAACAATGTTTTGAAAAAGTCGATAATATCAATGATTTTAAAATACTTAAATTGTAATTACAAAAAAAAAATACAATTATATAAATAAAAGTTACTTCGCTTAGATAAAAAAAAACATGAAAAAGAAAATGTCATATCTTTAACAGTTAATACTTAAATTAATTATAACAGAGCACGTTCATATGTGTTTCATGCGCATTTTCCCGCCAAAATTTACAACTATCAATTATATTATTTTTGTCTTGGCAATTCGCCCATAAAGATGATATCGGATGATAGTAAATGTACTTGGAGAAAATAAAGGAATAACAGAACTACGACGTTTTTCTTAATGAGTTTTATATCAACATTAAGAAGAAGATCAGAGAATTCGAGAGGATTAAATAAAAATAAATACGCATATATCCAAATTATTCTACCAAGCATGCTTGAATGTATATATATATATATATATATATATATATATATATATATATATATGAATAAAAAACAGACCACGTTAAGATTCCATGTAATAAGCTATTTCACCATAACCCCTTTAACAGGGTTCTGGATCATCAGACTTTACTTCCAAAAGCTGAAATGAAAAATGAAATGTTTTACCATAAATATGAAAGAGCGGGTAATATTATTATATGTGTAAAGATATGGATAATGTAATTAAATACTGAGATAGTCTTCGAACGCAGGCATAAGTGGATGCACAGGTGGACATGAGGATAGGGACAAGTACGTGTGTAGATATGTGTAAGTGCAAATTAACGCATATGTGGGTATGTAGATATGCTGCATATTACGTATGTATATGCATGTATGTGTGTGTATGTATATGTATGTGTATGTATGTATGCATATATATGTGTGTGTGTATATGTACATGTGTTTACATATAGGTGTGTAAATATATATGTGCGTATGTATATGGATGTATATGGATATACAGGTGTCCTTATGTGTATATGTATATATGTAAGTATAAGTGTATATGGAGATATGTATGGAGATATATGGATATGCGTTTTCTCTGCAGGTGTATATATGTAAATATGTAAATATACATATGGTTTTTTCGTGTGAATGTGTGTGCAGGTGTATATAGGAACTCATAGGCATATAAGAAGATATAGGTATGTGGATATAAATAGGGGTTTAAGACACGTGTAGATAAAAGATTGTAAAAGAAGGACCTAATTTTTTGCTAGTGATATCTCATCCAAATCTCTCCTCTAATATTCTCCAATTGGAAGTGAGTTTAAATAGCACGAAGGTAAAGTTTAGATTGGTATTTTAATTGAGATTGAAATATACTACCCCATTATTGATAATAAAATTATTTAAATGGGAATAACCGTTGATAATTGGGTACATAAAAGCAATCACGAGTTTACTTAATGAACAAAAATCAAAAACAATCACGAGTTTACTTAATGAACAAAAATCAAACGAATAGATGTCAACCTAACAAGTAATAAGATAAAAGTTTTAGTGGAATAAAAAAGATTACTAAATATAAAATAGTTTACTCTTTCAATGTTCTGTCTATGAATTTTTCCAATCGACTGTTTCACAGAAAATACCCAAAACTCCACCGAATTTCAAATTAATTTCTTCGTAGATTGTTTAAACATTTAGATATTTATCAAACCTTAACCTCCCAAATATGCACGTTAAAGTAACGCGAATTAACAGCGTCTAAGAATTTGAATGAAACCTGTTGTGTAATTTATTGGGGTTGTTGTAACTTCTTCCTTTAATGTCGTTCTTATCATTCAATCTATTTAGTCATCTATATCTAGAGACGAGACGCGTTAAATTTGAGCAACATCTAGCCGACACACTGGGGTTAAAAATAGGAAACTGAAATGATACATATGACACACTCATATCCTCTCTCCCACCTCACTTCCTCACTTCGTTAATTTTACGTATACTTGATGAGGTCTGTCAAAAACGTGTGAATTTCTTTTCATTTTTCATTTCAGCTTTTGGAAGTAAAAGTCTGATGATCCAGAACCCTGTTAAAGGGGTTATGGTGAAATAGCTTATTACATGGAATCTTAACGTGGTCTGTTTTTTATTCAAACATATATATATAAAGACATTTTTATGTTTATACATTCTTCTTATAGATAAAATATTAAAGTAAATGTTCTGTTTTATAATAAACAGTATTATCAACATTTACCGGGCTGAATGTCCAAGAAATTTTCATAGAAAATTTTCGTCCACCGAAAAAAAAAAAAAAAATTCTATGAAAATTTCTTGGACATTCAGGCCGGTAAATGTTGATAATACTGTTTATCATAAAACAAAGCATTTACTTTTATTTGTATCTATAAAAAAGAATGTATAAACATAAAAATGTCTTAAAATAATTGTCGGACTTTGTCCATTTCATAATGTGTGACGTCATTTATATATATATATACATATATATATATATATATATATATATATATATATATACATATGGGTATATTTCAATCACAAAATTCGTCTCATATATCGTGTTTGTAAATCCTATTCTATTAAATTCGATACACACTGACCAACTGAGCTGCTAAGAAACAATCGGTCAGAGAAGGCCAAAATTTACCTTTAATCTAAATCTGTGTTTTCCACTTGATTTTGGGCCATGAATGACCCACCTTGTTATTTCTAAAATTCCAATGCCCCTGTAATATTTAATACTCATATATATATATATATATATATATATATATATATATATATATATATATATATAATAAAAGGAACATAAAGAGGCAACAGTATTTTGAGCGACTGTCGTCTGTTTCATGATGTTCACTTTTTATATTTACAAATTATATCTCTGATATTGAGCACTTTATTCCATAAATATAGCATACCTAAGACTATATATATATATATATATATATATATATATATAATAATTTTTTATTTAAAGAAACAATTATAAAATAAATATGTTATGAAATCACTACAAAATAGCCATTTTGTTTCAACACACCCAGTGTCTTATCAAGTGATGAGGATGAATGTAAAATAATTGTTGTTTATTGTTGAATGTAAAGTAATTGTTTAATTCATTCCCGTATACACCAATCATATACTTGGGTATATATATATATATATATATATATATATATATATATATATATATATATATATATATATGTGTGTGTGTTTGTGTGTGTGTGTAAACCATTCCGTGACGAAATAAAATTTAGAATAAATATCACGGGTATTTCATCAAACAAATTTTTCAGAAATCATTTCAAAAATATCAATTTTGTATAGAGACGGTCTTGTGCCATTATTGGTAATTATGTTACGAGCGAAAATTGTAATTTGAAATTTATATGAGTGCTAGAAGAGAAACGCGAGCCAATCTATCCATGGAAATGTTCTGTCATAATAGAATAAGCCGTGTTTTTCAGCGCAAGAATTAATATACGCGTATAAATTGAATCCGGTTACATTATTAGTATGCATTTAGATATGTAGATAGGGCGGATAGCCATCATTTCTGGTTCTTTTGCCTTTCGAATAACAATCGAAAACAGACATCTCTAATAAAAACCAAAGGCATATTGCCCACATCAATCTGCAGCAGCTCAAAGATATTTAATTGATCGTGTATTCAAGATCAGACAGTGGAAAATAAAATTACTGAATACAGTGATTTCCCATGGGCTTCTCCAGTCACCATGATCGACGGTGAATGCCGACCCTGGGAGAGTTAGGCTAGATTGTCAACTTAATAACTCCATGAAACCCACTTCAGTATCCATTACTCTGCAGCGACGAAAGAGTTTGGCGGAATTTTCTTTACCTAAAACCCAGCTTAGATTTCGGAATTTGGCACATAGCCCAACGACACGGTAGCCAAAAGTGGACAAGCTTTTACTTGCCATCGCGGATTAGTGTATTTAAAGGCTGTACAATCCACTTTAATGGAATGCCGCAGGTATAATTTTGAGAAGACCAACATGGAATCTGAATAGTAAGGGTTAGACAAAGAAAGAAAGAAAGAAAGAAAGAAAGAAAGAATGGAATATGGAATAGTGACCTGAGGTGGAAAGAAAGAAAAAAGAAAGTAAAAATGTAATATTGAATAGTAGCACAATAAAGAAAGAAGGAAAAAGAAAAAAAAAATAAAAAACTGTGGAAGACAAATCAGTGAATAAAAGAAAAAAGAAAAGAAAAGAAAGGAAAAAGAAAGAAAAAAGAAAGAATGGAAGAGAGGAACTGTGGTAAAGAAAAATCTTCAGAAAGAAAGAAAGAATGGAAGAGAAACAAAAGAAAAAACCAGTGGTAGAAAAGAAAGAAAGAAAGAAAGAAAGAAAGAAAGAAAGAAAGAAAGAAAGAAAGAAACTGTGGGAGACAAACCAGTGGTATGAGAAATAAATAAATAAATAAATAAATAAATAAAGAATGGTATACTGAATAGTGACGTGACATGGGAAGAACGAAAGAGCAGGTTGTAGAAGAGTGGCATAAGAAAGAAAGAAAGAAAGAAAGAAAGAAAGAATAGGAAGAACAAAAGAGCAGGTGATAGAACAATGGTAGAAGAAAGAAAGAATGAAAGAAAGAAAGAAAGAAAGAAAGAATGAAAGAAAGATGTAAATTAACGATATATGAGAAAATGAAAGACAAAAATGGAAGAGGAAGAACTGGAAAAACTTGTTCGGAATGAAGGAACGAACGAAAGAATAAATAAGGAATCTTAGGACAAAGAAGGATGAACAACGTAGGAAAATAAATTGAAAAGGAAATAAACATGAAAATGCTAAATATTTTTTACTGAATTTCATCATTTATGAATCTTAATGTGTGAAGCGGTTATTGAGATTCGAATTGATTGCAGTGTCATGATTTCTGGGTTAATAGAATTCAAAAACGCCAACCTTGATGCCATCTGCATGAAAGTGGGGCTTCGACTTAGTTATGATCCTACTGCGCATTGGAACACAATCTGTTTTGGACTCCCCAGAAAAAGAAAAGTCAAGATGGAGTTGTAATACACAAATCAACCCGTGTTGTAATAGACAATATTGTACATTAGTCAGAAAGAGAGATGGCTGCCGATTCTTGTTCTTGGCTTTAAGGTACGCATGATTTCATCTTATGCCTCAACTAAAAAAAAAATGTTGTTTATGAAAACTAAACTATTCTACTTTGTACTGGGCATCATACTTATTATAAAACCCAGGTTGTGTGTGTGTGTGTGTGTGTGTGTGTGTGTGTGTGTGTGTGTGTGTGTGTTCGTTTATATATTGGATCGGATTTCCTCCATTTTTCAAACCGATTTCAACAAAACTTTGGGGACTACGTAAATTACCTTGCGGTGGATCCAAAATTGGAAAAACACAATTGTTTTTGCACGAAACCGATTTGAAAACACGATTAAGAGGCATCGCGAGAATGAAAGGGAGACAACACAACAAATATCAAGTTATACTTATTATAAAACCCAGGTTGTTTGTGTGTGTGTGTGTGTTCGTTTATATATGGGATCGGATTCACTATATTTTTCAAACGATTTCAACAAAACTTCACTTTTTTTTGGCAGGTAATGTTTCTTATTGTCTTGCACACTTTTTTCTTTATTTTTACATTCAGAATGCTTTAAAAATTCCATTTACAAGACAATTGTTTATAATAAAATTCTATTCAATCGGTAGACTCATAACGATTGAAAACAATGTTTTTGTTTGAGTTTGGATTTGACCAATTCGCCATTGCTCATTTTGAAGTTAGTACGGCAACACTCTTTCAAATGAAAGCTTCAAACAGCAACGGAAGACTCCTGTTAAATTTTTGTTACTCAAAAAGTTATTTATCCTTAACACATGTTGATGCTATACAATGAAATACCGCATCACATAGCTTAAAATTTAAAAAAAAAAGTTTATTGGTTCAGCATGTTAGATATTTGGAGTAGGAATCTTCTGACAGGTGTTATAATATAGAGATTTTAATCTAATCAGTGACTATTTGTAATTAAACTGACAACATCAGCCAATGAAATAGCTCGATTCCGCACACATAATGCCAGAGAAACACCAAGATATAATATTCAAGCCCTTACAAATGAAAGGGTGCATTTAGAATTCAGCAATAAACTCCAATAGATTCCAAACTGATGTCTGTAAATCTTGATCATATCATAGAGGAATCAAATAAAGTTATCATATCGTCATTAGCTGAAATACATGAGATTACAAAAATACCTAGAAGAAAAAAGGTACACCCATTGCCCGACAACGGTGAATTGAAAAAAATGATACAAGAATGAATCAAACATATGAGGGAAAACTGAAAGGAAAATACCAAACAATTAGAAAATAAAACAAAAATACTTAATTATTTAAGCAAACAGTATCTCTGGATAATAGGTAATGAAATTAATGAATGCGATCAACATAAATAATGTGTTAAAATATGGATAAACTACAATAAGTTCATACAATCAGAACCACAACAGAAGAAATGTCCTAATCTCATGAAACACTTTCAATCCCATTTCAACCCTGACCACACTAAAATAACAATACCTGCAGAAATAGAATATATAATAATATCCATCCAATCATTACAAAGTCCGTCTCCATACATAATAATGAAGCTACTGATTGGGAAATTAACATAGCTATTTGAAAACTAATGAATAATAAAGCCTCACATCACATTGAGGCTGAACTTTTGAAAAATGACTTACCTTCTCTCCGAATTAAATAAGTAGTTTCTCCATTTCTTGAAAGAAGTTCGGAATCAGAAATCCATCCCCTAAAAGTGAGATTTATCACGTATTAATGAACCATGGAAACAGAAAGGTAGTTTTCAATCACCACACGCATACAAATATATCTCAATTGTATTTATCATATTAAAATTATTAATTGTTATGGTGACCTATCTACGTTAGAATGAATTCTTCCTCCTTCATAAATACTAACCTGCGAGACTTCTTAAACTGGCAGTCAGGACTCAGTGCAACCTGAAAGTTCGGACGTTCACTTCTATCTGCTGATTAATAACACTCTTATTTTGTATATATGTTCTGTTATTTCATTACACTTGTTCAGCCTACCTTTTTCTTTCCGTGTCTTTCTTTCTGGCCCCTAACAGGCCACAACATTAATGAACATTATATTAACTAAGCTCCCATTCTTTTTTATGAAAATCAACTCCCCACGAGTAAACTTTACTTTCGTTCTGCTAAGGTATGCAATGATTGTCCTATATGTCATCAACCGGAACTTGCTTACTTCTCTAATAAGAAATTGTATACCTGCTATGCCGACCTAACAGCAGCATATGACCACATCAATATAGACTTCCTCATTTCATCCACAGGAAACCAACTTCCAAGCTCCGAATCAACTAAATACATCTATATACCTTTTTATTCATTTAATCCCAAGCAAGGCAATACACTCACTAACACGTAAAGGTTTAATGGGTGTTAGAGAATAGAAGACAAAAAAAGGAGAATAAAAGATCAAGAATTAAGAAAACGGAAGATAGTGATTGACATTCTATATATTTATTTAAAGATCAGTGTTGACTGGGAAGCAAGAAGCCGGAAAAGAGTTTCACAAGCCAGAAGTGCGAGAAAAGAAACTGTTAATATAGAACTTACGCTTATATATATAGCTATTCCAACAGTAAAATGATGAAAAATTGCCGCCATTTTAGTACCGCGCTTAAATTCGTAAAATGTAGGCAGCATAAAGAAAAGTTCGTCATCAGAACAATTACTATGAAAGTATTTATAAAAAAAAAAAGGCACAGAGTATCTACTTTAAGGTGAAGGTCAGATGCCAGGTCTGGAGCAATAATATTGAAAATTCTTTTTGCATTTTACCAAGGATCTCTACATATGTAACAGTAACGCAAGACCATACGTGGCAGCAATATTCGAAGCATAGATGACTTAATAGACTTATAAATATATAATATATATTCTGGAGATAAACACTGACTAAAATGACGCAGTGAACCAACTTTTCTAGCAGCAGACCTAGCAATTGATCCAATATGATATTTTTACTTCATGTCCGCGGAATATGTTAGACTGAGAAAGCAAAACGAGTCATTCTCCTGGAGGTTAGTATTAACTTTGCTGATGGAAGACAAAAAGGATCACTCAGATGATTGATCGAGAGCAGTTTCGTTGATGAAGCGTTAACATTAAAAAAAAAAAATAAAAAAAAAACAAACTATTCCTTGCCCCAGTTAACAACTGATTATAGGTCATCTTTTAGATCAGCAGTCAATTTGACCGTATGAACTTGATCAGAGTTAATATTGAATACAGGAATAAATAGCATAGATACCGAGAACTGATGCCATGAGGAACGTCGGTGATGAAAATCAGGAACAAGGCAGAACCAAAGGTAGATCCCTGGGGGACACCTGCATTTATACAGAAAGATCTAGAAGAGTGGCTGTTAAGGAAACATTCGCGATTTGATAGGAACAAGCGAAATAATTCAAAAAGTCGTGTAGAAATACCATAACCTTCCAACCTATGAAGAAGACCGATATGTCAAATCCTGTCAAATGCTTTTGAGAAGTCTAAAGCAACAGTCCGCGCTTCACCCTTCTTATCTTAAGTTTGATACACTCTGTCAGCATTAATCGTTAATACATTAGCAGTTGACCTAAAAAAACAAACAAACTAAATCTATATTACTTATCTGAAAGGAAACCCTACGATGGGAGATGTTCAACAGATTCATGTCTATTAGGGCCTCTAGTACTTTGTCAAAAAAAACGGTAGAGCGCTAATAGGTAGCTAGTTAGAATGGCCAGATTATTGACCGGATTTTTAAAGACAAGGTATACTGAACATGATTTTCCACCAACCGAAAACCAATAAGAAGTCAATCATTGTAGATCTTAGAGAGAACGGTTAAGGAGCACATTTGTTAAGGACTATAGCAGGGACGCCATCAGGTTCACATGCTTTGTGGTGATCGAGTATAGGATTGATAGCAGAAACCACGGAGGGAATTATATGCATATCATTCAACAGGGAATGAGTTGTAAGGAAAGATACCCCAGATGAGTCAAAAGTAGAATTTGAAAAACAAATTACAAGCAAAACGTTCTAATTTATCAGCAAAAGATGGCAACACATCAAAATGAGTGAAGTGAGGTGAGAAAGAGGATTACTTTTATTTAACACATTATTACAAAGCCACGAGAACTACTGTTGTCAGAGGCTATACGTTGCCTCATTCTCTCAGGAATCAATGACTTGGCCCGTTCGAGGTCACGTTTACTGTTATTACGCGCAGACACAAAAAAGCGTCTGTTGTGATTGGAACTGTCACGTTGGCCTTACAGAGAAATTTTTATCGATATAGAAAATCTTACATGTCTGGCGAAGACCGCAATAGGGAAGTATTTCAAACATCATGAGTATTGCGACAAGGGGAGAATGAGAGCTCCAGTTTATTTAATCGTTTCCTCAGATATAGCCTGCGTATTTACAAACACAGGTATGATGGCATTGGAGCTGGTCATTTAAGCATTAAGGACTACATCGCAAACGAATCTACCTATAGAAAGCAACGATCTTGATTTCCTTCCCGAGATCAATGTACTGATGATGAGGATGTTGCTATGCTGATGATATGTGTATTCCTAGACGGGATAAGAATGTTCCTCAACAGAAAATTAATATCCTCTAACAAGTGTTCCAACAAGTAAGACTTAAGTTAAACCTTTCCAAAACTATGATCTAGAACTGGAATGAAACTGATGGTAGCTACAATGAATATATCGTAAAACATAGGATATGCAATTATTAAATACTTAAGACTTTATATATCACGGTGTATACCTGGCGACAAAAGAGGGAACAAAATTTGGAGAGTTGAGTTACTAAAGGTAATTTACGGATACTGATATATCCAAAAAAGGCATGGAACATGGAACTAGAACAATCTGCTCTCGTTGACGAAATAAAGGGTTCGGTTCGAAATTCGAACGTATATCACCTGAAGAAGGTCGGAGCATGAAACCGGAGAAATTTAATGAATATGGCAATAAAGATGATGACAACAGTGTAAATAGCTACAAATTCTCAGCTAAGAAATATAGACAGAGAAAGGTTTCTTATTAAAAAGAGACGGAGAAAAGCGTGTGGAAGAATCAGAATTAGAAATTTAAACTAAAAGGAAATAAGAAATTAAAAAAAAAAAAACGGAGGAAGGTTTAAAATTAAATTAAAACTGAATGAAAAGGAGAAACAGTAATGGGAACGAATGAAAATATTGTGAGGAAGAACAAAATGAATTAAAAAAAAAATATGCAAACCTAGATTAGTATCCGCCCTTCCGTCAGATTTTAGGCTAACGACTACCAAGGGCTTTGGGGCTTTCAGCCATTTAATTTCAGCCATTTACTTTCAGCCATTTACTTTCAGTGTCCTATGTACGTAAAAGTTATAAGAATTTAGAAATATTAAAATTACTTTATCTTTATTCGACAACTTAATTCGGCATAATCTTTCTTCGTGTACGCAGACGATCTCCGTAGTTTGTTTACATTTATTTTGCGCACAATTTTTATTTTCTTCTAAAATCCACATTCTTTATGATCCCGTCGCATACAGATAAAATTAAAAGACATTAGGGAACCCGAATTATGTAATATTTCGAATACATGAAAGTACACGTTTAAGAAAAAGAAAAACAAAGAGCAATGTACCGTGCCCCTTAATAAGTTTTAATTATGGTTTAATTAGACGATATCAATTACAGCTAAGACGAAAATCCAAATTAACGTTAACATTTAATAAAGAATTGTTTTTTTTTAAACCTTTCACTCTGTTCGATATTTAAATTTAACATTAAATGAGTTTTTTTTTTAATTTTTAATCGCGTTTAGCTACACTAGTTACTAACTTTTACTTCAAGTTGTTTATGATTTGCCGAGATCGAAAAACAGACGGACAGACGGATACACGTACACTGCGCTTTATTTATATTGAAGAAGTAAATGTGTTGTCGAGAGATAGTCATAGTGATAAGGAAAGAAAATGAAAAAGAAGGCTGGGGAAAGAAAGACATGTAAAATATAAAAAAATGAAAAAAATGAAAGGAGGAAACCTAAAGTAAATATACAAATTAAAATTAAAGAAATAAAAAAAGAAGAATTTCAAACAGGAAGAGTCAGCCAGAGGATAGGAACATAAAGTAGAAAAAACAAATGAGAAAATACGAAAAAATCAGTACAGTAAAATACTAAAAGAAAGAAAGACTATAAATAAATACAGACAGGCTTGAATAAAGAACTAATGATTACTTGAAGACATTTGTCCGGACTTTCATAGCCTCGTCCGATTTTTCTACAATCATTATTATCGAATAGATTTTTAGTATACATTGGATTTCGAACTATTTCACGTATCCCCTTTAACGGATGAAAAGTTTCTCAAAACTTAACCAGGCTTTAACTACGAGACTGAGTAAATAACCCAAGGAAATATGGCTCTCACTTATTACTGATCGATATTTTTTGTAAGCAGAAAAAAAAAATAACCTAACGTTTGCAAAAATGACTCCTTACATCTAATGTCATTGATAGAGAAATTTTCGGTGAGCGATTGAAAGAAGTAAAGTTTTCTTCAAGAGAAGACAAAAAGAAAAGAAAAAAAGAAAATGGTTTCAGTACCAAAAATAAGTAAATAAAGAGAAAGGAAACAATTAAAGAATTCTTGGTACTTCAGGATGTGTTTTTGATTCTTGCATATACCTCAGGCACTGAAAAATAACTGCCATCAAGTACGAGGCATATTCTAGGATTTCCAAGCGAAAACAATAATTTAACAAGATCATGAAATAAATCTTACACTTTCGAAAAAATAAACCTCGTATTCAAACTCGATAAACTGGATGGGGTGAAACTTAGTGTCGCTAATGTGGCATTCCCCACTTTGAAAATAACAGAAAGAACTTGCTTTGTAAACACTTCTCAGAGTAGGTTTCGTCACCCTCAAGGAATCAAGAAAATTGAGTACATTTACATGATACTTCTTCAAAGACTTCAAATTTGGACGAAGGAAGAAACTACACAGCATGAAGCCAGAACCAATTATCTGGCCAGAGATCTCTTACTATTGGTATTGTTCGGCGATCGATCTAATGATTGCCAAGTAAATGCCTTTGGGGAGAAAAAATGATGAGGTGTATGGGTTCGTTATTTTTGAAGATTTATACACGCTTCTAATGGTTTCAATACTAATCTGAGAAGTTTCTAAAATTTAGACTTTGAGCTAACACCCTAGGCTATTTATTTGTTTTTATATATATATATATATATATATATATATATATATATATATATATATATGTGTGTGTGTGTGTGTGTGTGTGTGTGTGTGTGTGTGTGTGTGTGTGTGTAAGCAAATATATGGATATAGATCCGACAGTATGAAGAAAATATACTGAAAAAACAAACAAAAATCCTAATATGCGATTATGCTTTTTTAATGTTTAATGTTAACGTCGGACGTTTCGGTCTAATAGACCATCTTCAGGACATATTCATAAAACATAATTAACATAGACCATATACAATTCAGCATACTCATAATTCATATACAATTCAGCATAATCGCATATTAGGATTTTTCTTTGTTTTTTCAGTATATTTTTCTTCATATATATATATATATATATATATATATATATATAATTATTTATTTAAAAATTATTACA